GAGTCATGGACTAGATTGGCTCATCTTTTGGTACGGGATAACCCCCTACTCCTTGCTCCCATGGCCTCACTCTGCTGCCCAGAAACTAGAGGGACATTTTGAGGAGTCATGTGGATGTCCACATTGGCAGCTTTAAGATGAGACAGGGATGGAGGAGGCATGGGCTCACAAGGCCAGGGTTGCAAACTTCAGCCCTGGATGTAAAAGTCAGCATCTTATCTAGGCTGATGTAATTTCATTTAGTTTTGCTTCAGGAAACGAATTAGTTTCAGTTCCAATATAAAAAGAAGAAAAACGGGTTTACAGCTAAAATTTTAAAGAGCTCTCTGGAAAAACCGGAAGGAACTGATTGATACAAGCAGGTAGACTGAAGAGTCCAAAGACAGAAATATGGCAGAACAGCAAAAATTTTAATTCAAAGGTAGAAAGCAAATCTGTGATTTGCATCCTAAGTAGGGAAGGATAACTGTTTAGGGAAGTAACCAGCTGATTTCAATAATAGTTTAAGAAATAATAGGGAATTTATACAGGATGAAAAAGGAATAATGCAACAGAAAAACTTCTGTTTTGGCACTTAGCTATGTAATGAAGTAAGAACTGCAGAAGTTGGGGCCACTTTGCACATTTCCAAAGAGCTTAAAACCCAGTAAGAAGCTTTCTGGTCAAATAAAGAGAGGATTAAGATAAAAGTGAGATTACTGGCAGGGTTATGACTTTGGACAACACCAAAGATACCTTCAATGCAAACCAATAAGAGACAGGATGGTGATTGCTGTGAATCCTTTAAAAAATTACCACATCTGAAGGAAAAGCTCTATCCTTAGTATTCCTGGTGCTTGTGTCAAGGGAGGTGAAAAAAAGAGACACAAGCGAAAAGTTTATTAGCAAAGAATGTAAATATATAAAGGGGCAGGTACCATGACTGGAAAATAGTAAGTGGTTCCTGCATTTGAGACATGGAAATAAATCACAACTGAGGAAACTAAAGCCCTGTTATTGAGACTGAAATCACACAAAGGGATATGAGCATTAACTGGCCATGAGTGGATTAGCTTGAAGAATAAGAAGAATATCCTAACCTGCAGAGCAGCAAGTTTTTAAATCTGCATGCCTCACTCCTCTATGTGAAGGGCCAATAACAGAAAAACAAGTTCTTTATGTAGATTTAACTGCAACAGAGATTATTTGATGTCATTACCTTTATTACCTGCTGCCTTTCCATCCAGGGTGCTTGTTTGATGAGCTTTCATTCTTTTCAGTTTGATCAGAAAAAATGAAAGTTTTCATTTCAGGAGTATCACAGGAAGCAGCTGGAATGTAGCCAAGCACCAGAATTTCCCCAGATATGTAGTGTCAGAGAGGCTTCATCAGTTTGCAGTGATGAGGTTTTGTCCTGATATGCTTGTAGCTGTTCTTGTCTATTCTTCTGTGACCAGATTGTCACAGTGTCTTCATAACAAGCATTGCTTCTCTTCTGCTATGGATTAATTTTCTACAACACAGCTAGCTAGGGTATGACCACAAAGCTCTAAACAAGCACAAACTGAGAGTTCTGAAATATCTGACTGACACATTAATGACAAAACAAGGGCTGCAGAACAAATGCAAACCCTGAAACACCACCTCATCCCTTGACTACTGAGAAACCCCAGATAAAGCAACATTACAGTATCATCTGGAATTTTGAAGGGTAGCAGGAAGTTGAAATTCATGTTCTACTTAGCAGTAGAGAAGTGAGCTGTAAAGTCATCCACCAAGCTTTAAGAAAGAACCACAAGTAGCCAGCATGCTTTTCAAAGAGAGGAAGCAGCAAGTTGCCAAGCATTATGAAGGCACAAGAGATTTCTCCTTGGGAAGAAAGCCCATAAAACACACAGTAAAGAAATGAGAGAAAGAGAGACCTATAGAGAGTAAAGGCAAAGTCTGCAACAAGACTAAACAGCACAAAGAGGAACAAAGTCCTCCCTCTACCAGGCGTCTGGTAACACTGACATACCCCACTGTAAGGAGCGAGGCAGCCTCCCAGCAGTCCTGCCCTTCTTTGTAATGGCCAGAGGGATGGATTTGCACCTGGAATAGTCACTAATAATATTCATCTGAAAGAGGAAGAAAACCCACCTGCTACCTACTCATACAAATCCTTATCAAGGCAAAAAGGAGGGTAGGAACAATGCTTTTGACTCTTGATTGCTCCAGGGCAGGAAGATGTGTGTGTCAACTTTTCAATCAAAGCAATAACCCAGCCACTCAATGTGTGGGACTTACTAATCAATGTGGAGAAAGAGTGAGAAGTAGCTATCTCAATAAGAACTTCCTCCTTCACTGCATCCCGTCTCTTTTACCGTTTTTAATGTGTCAATATGGTTCACATATTTTGTATTCCACTCTTCTGAACATTTGAGCTGCAAGGAAATAACCTACCTAATGTGATGCTTAATTCAGAGGAAGACAGATGCTTTATGCTGTTGTATCAGTAAATTAGATTTATTTATTTATTTATTTATTTAATGACTAAAAGTCTCATTGCTGTGACCAAAACCCCAAAATAGTCCTGAGATTGTGGCTCATAGGAAGCAGATTATCGTTAGTGAAAAGTACTGAAATATTTTGCTTTTAATGTGGCCATGCTGGGCAGAATTTTGTGTTCTGATGCAAAGACTACTCTGTTTGAAGGACATTTGCAGTCCTGCTGAAAATATTTGCCTTTCTACTTGAGTATCTCCGGCACATACGTTGAAAACTGTTTGTGGTTTGAAAAAGAGATGCAAATGTGTTGTATGTGATCTGACATGTTTGGTTTTGTGGCATTAACAGGACAGATTCTAGCTCCATTCCTTTTGTGATTTCCTAACTCATGTCTAATTAGGTTTTGGGCACTTTGTTCTCAGCTGTCTCAAAATAAAAAGTGCTTTCTTTGCACTTTAATTTGGTAACTTAGGTCTGCAGTTTCCTTTTCTGAATCTTCCTGTGATTAGCCCAGCAGATCCAAAGACCTGTCCTTCCTAATTACAGGTGCTCTTCCCAAAGATGAGGAGCAGAACTTGCCAGTGATCACCACCTTCCTTAAAGCCCAATGCTATTTATTTAGAACAAAATGCTATGGGAAAAAAAGCTAATTAATAAGCCAAGACATGACTCACACACCTGCTAAGTGTTGCCTGTCTTCCTTGTGGTGCCCTGGCAAATATGATAAGCAAGATCTGCCAGCTCTTTAATTCAGAGAGAGCATCTGTGTATCAGCTCGTGCTGTCTCTCCTCCAGAAGATGAAAATGAGTGCCAGGGTAACAGGCATGAGAACTTGTGTGAAGACATGCAGGTTCCACAGAAACACTTCTCATTCAGCCTGGAGCACAAATGCATAAGTAACATGTGCTGCCCAGCAGTCAGTCCTGGAACATCCTGTGGGCCAGCACCAACCTTCCCATCCTGTGGGCCAGCAGTCAGTTCTGGAGCATCTCTGTGAAGCTGGGTAGACTCCTGCCTGTAACCAGTCATGCTGCTCTCTGAAGTCAAGTGCCTGCCACCTTCTTGCATGTGGGAACAGCAAAAACTTGTGTGGCTGGACAGCTGAGAATACTCAAAAGTAATCAGTGGCCGTTGGATTTTGTGTATGGCCAATGATGGGCATTGTCCTCCTATGCTCAACCACATGCAAGATCGAAACAGGAAAAGCATCTGCCCAGACAGAGCTGTCCTGCATGTTGGTTGTGGCCAGTCCTGGGTTGTCCTGGTGCATTCCATGCTTCATAACCTTTATGGCAGTTTACTGTAGAAGCATTTGAAAGCTTGGTGTTATCATTTCCATCATGGGGATATCATGACCCTCAAATGCTTTAAAACCATTGAAAATTATGAAGATAAAATTATTTCAACATTGAACCTCTTTTGGTTGAGTTTTTAGCAGATATGATGCTTCCAAACCCTCTGGAATGGGAGGTCAGAAAGTGCAGCTGTAGCCGATGTGGAAACAAAAGTTTTCTAGTGAAATAAGATGAATCCTGTCTTGAAGAGAAGTCATGATTTTTGTGGTCTTGTTACCAGACAGGCAGTGTCTCTGGTCAAAGCCTCATTGAAATCTGGTTTGGCTTCACGAAAACCCCAGATATATGTGTGCCTCACTGTGCTCTTTTTGGGGAGGGAAGGTTTCCTTTCATGAACACTGGGGTCATGTAGCAGACAGGTTGTGCTCTCCTGCACTAAGATGGAAACAGAGGCCTTCTGAGAACATATCAATTCATAGGCTGTGGTGGTAACAGAAGGTAGGTAGGAGGAACACCAGTGTCCAGGCTTCAGGCACTTGACTGCCAGGCCAAGACTGCTGCTGGAGTGGCTGCAAAGAGAGAAGCTGATCAGCAGGGTGAGTCAGGCACCAGCATAAATTGAGGTGAATTCCCTGTGGCTGCTCTGTGTGTCAGGGGGTGTGTTTGGGGGAAGCTGACTCCAGGCACGTATAAGACTGGTCTGATTCACCTGTGTTACCTGTGACACATGGCAGTGTCACTGCAGAGCCCTGCACTTCAGGGCTCTAGCAGCTGGGCTTACAGTGACCACTGGTGTTTCTGCCCCAGATTTGTGCCACCCAGACATGCCTGTGCCTGCAGGCACTGCCTTCACTTCCCTCCTCCGGGTAGAAACCAGGAGTCCCTACCCAGAAGCTGTGTTTTTGCTTTTGTTCTCTGGGCATAAGTCTTGGGTGTGCTTTGTGTGCAATGGCAGCTCTGTTGAGCTGCTGTGTCAGAATGCCTGAGCAAGCAGGGCTCCTGCAGCCCTGAGCAGCCTCTCCGTGAGCTAATTATAACTTTCCTGCTCCCAGTGCATGTGTGAGAAGATTTCTGTCAGCTTTTTGATGGAATGCATGGAAAGGAAGGGTAACTCAACAGCTTTTCTAGGTGCAGAGATGTTTCTGCTGCACCTTCTCTCCGTGTAAGCAGTGTGTGGGAAGTGTTGACAGTGCAGTTCTGTGGCTCCTAATTGGGAGGCAACAGGAAGGTGACTCATGAGACATTGCATCCTCTTCTGTGCAGGCAACATGGTGACTTGAAGAACAGGCACTGGACTGCACAGAAGCTGTGCGATTGACAGCAAAATGATAGAGGCTGACAGTGATCTTGGCTGGTTAAGATCCCAACTGAAGTCATCTGAGCTCCTCTTAGGAGTTCCTCAGCTATCAATGACCTGTGGGCAGCTAATAGAGTTCTGCTCTGTCCAGAGCTGTCATACTTTGCCAGGGTTTTAACAGCTGTGGCTGAAAAAAGCATCCAGTGTTGACAGAACAAGGTATTTACTGTTAACCTGTCTGCTTGCGTAACTTCGTGCATGTAACTGCAGTGTCAGTCTGAACTCTTTCCTGCACTCACCGTCCTGATGTTGCTGCTCTTTTGGCTAGCCCTGACCTATCAATGTTCCCTGTGAGATTGCTTTTCTCTGTCTGGTCTGATTCTGCTATTGATCCTGTTCTGGCATTAACCTTTTCCAGCTCTGCCATGACATGTCTCCATTGCAGATTATAATTCTTCTCATGTTCCTAACCTTGTCTGAAACCCTGCTACCTGCTGAGTTTTTTGGAACTGATGTGAGAGCAGAAGCTCAGGTGAGCCATGCTGAATTCAGTAACTTAATCTCTTCTATGTCAAGGCCAGAGATTTCCTTGTCATTCTTCCCATTCTAATGTCATCTCTCAGCAGCTCTCCAGTAGTCTGAGGTGCTGTGGTATCTTCCCAATGCCAAATACCCTGTCTAGTTATATCTGTCTGTATGTGGAGACAGTAACAATGTCACCAAAGCAGAATGTAAGTACAGTTTATCTGCCTTGTCTGGAGTAAAGGATAGTGTAGGGTGCAGTACCACATGCATCTGGGCCCATTTGGCTCTTAAATAACAATGGGACTTTTTTGAGAGGAGGTGGAAAAGAGGGAGAAGAGAGATTGTTTTGGTTTATGTGCTTTTTTAGATGTAATCTACTTAAAGTAATCCAATCTGAATTCTACCTGCATCCCTGTAGCATTTGTTGTTTAACAGCTCATTCCGTCAAAGCCAATTGTAACAGCACAGAGTAATGTGGTTTGGTGATGTGGTTTGCTTGAATCCAGATTTTAGCAGGGCACCCTCCCTGTTTAATGGCCACTGTGAAATCTGGCAGTGAGTGGTACAGTGCTGACCATGGGGAATCTGCTCCTGAGAAAGACTAAACCTGCAGACACTCTGGTTGCATGGACACTGGAAGCTGATGACTGGTGTGTCAGTGGAATATCAAAATCATAGCTTGAGTGGTTGGTATGTTATGTAATGATTGGACTGGAATGTTGTACACAAGCAGAGGCACCGTCACCACCTGTTTACTAACTCTGATGTTACACATAGCCTGAGGTTACATCAGGCTAAAGAGCACACAGGCAGATTCTCATGAGGTGGGAACACTAGCTGGTGCCAGGACAGCAGCTGACAATGCCAGCTTTTTTTGAGAGGTATTTCCCTCCCCTCATTTCAAGGAAAAGCCTCTAAATGTTCCCTTGATGGTATCCTCAGTATAAAAGTTCAGGATTCTCAGCTAACACATATATTTCAAACCCTCAGAGATGTGTGAATCCCACCTTGGTGCAGACTGCACTGTTGAGGAAATACTCTGTCCCGTTATCTTTGTGTTTTGGACAGAAACAATTCCTTGAGTCCACCTTCTCAGTAAAAGAATAAATAAGGTCTTACCCCAGAGCCTCCAGACCATTATAACAAGTGGCTGTACAGCTGCTTGTGTTCCAGTTTCTGATGAATGTGGCATTGCTATCAGCAGTGCTGGGACGTGTACAACCTATTCCTAATTTTGTACATACATGTCATGCTGTGGAACAGTGAGTGGTTTCCAATATATTTTAATCTGTTCTAGTTGTGTTCCCATTTTAGGAAATCTGTGCCAGCTAAGACAGGAAGGCTGTTGCCTTGTAGCTTTTAAGAGGTTAATGATTCTTCAGGATAATAATTTTCTCTTTTTGAAATTGCCCTCTAATCTCAGCTTCTTGAGAGCACTTGGCTACAATCTGCCAAGACCCCAGTCTAGCAGCAGGTAGTTGGCATCATCAGCTGGAGCACCTGGACACTGTCTAGAGGAGAGAGGGTTCATGCAGAAGTGGATGCAGGGTGAAAAGACAGTAGTGCTCTCCTCTCTAGGATTTTGGTTGGCAGAAGCTTATACCTAAAGTCTGTCACTGTAAGCTGGTGCCAGAGCCTTTAGCTCTATTCCCTGTCACACAACCTCAAACTGTGGAATGGGCAGTGACAATGCTGCCCTCTCACAGACTGACCATCTGCATGTATAATGTTATGATCAGACCCTGCTGTGTTTCAAAGCTTAGACAAGAAAAAAAGGATCAGAGGTTCCTGACTGAAGATTGATTAGAATGTGTTTAAATCACGTGATGCTGAATTTAATACCGTGCTTAAGATTAAGCAGTTAGTGATTCCTTTAATTTGAGTCTGAGCCTATGCATAAGAGAGGTCTTCAGAGTCAGAGGTAGAAAGAATCCCTCCAAATCTGCCAGTACCTTGTCCTTCTAATCCTGAAGATGGCTGTAGTGATCACACTATTGCCCAAGGACCTTTCATGCTGCATCTCCAGTTGAGTCATCATCACCTATTCTCCTCCTATCCCCCACTCCATTACCTTTTGTGCTGAAATGGGAGCCTCTAACACGAAGTTGCCTCAAACGAAGGCTGTGGATGGCTGTTCTCTTCTCCATCCCGATGGTGGGAAAGCTCCAGCTTTTATTGTTGCTTCTCCAGACCTGCTGGCAGAGCTGTGTGTATATATTTTATCCTAAATGAGCAGGAAAAGCAAACTGCTCTTCAGCAGTTTAAGATAGCATCTGATGGCACAGTAGCTTAGCGTGCACCTCCAAGCATCCCTGCTTTCCCTTAACTGCCTCATTAAACTGGCTTTACAAAATTTTCCCTTTTCTGTACTGCAAAGCATCACAGTGGAGCCTTAGGATTTCTTAGCCCTTGGATTTCCACAATGAGCAGACAAAGGGAAGAAGAGCAGACAATTATTGTGTGTCAAGGGCTTGGCTGTGAAAGAGCAGTTGTGGGGGGATGCACAGATAGGCAGGTTTAATGCAGCAGCAGAAAGGATTTAGATTTCACTTCAAGGTGATGGAATGGCTCCAAGCAGTGATGGTGTAGCTGAGGGAGGCTCCATTCATCTAACAAAGCCCATGTACTGCACTTCTTTGCAGTCAAGCAATACAAATATGGGAGGCCATATCTAAGGCAAGAACCATCTCTTATCTTCCTCTCTTCAAGCAAGGGTGGCTTGGTGTATGTTGAACATAAATACAGCTTTGCCATGTGTCTTCTTTCAAACATCAGCAGGTGTGAGGTCTTCTAGTTCTGTCATAACACTGGGCTATGCACCAAAGAAAAGTCAAAGCAAGACTCCATAGCTCCTCTGTGCAGCCTTAAGCCTGAGAGGTAACCCCTCTGACAAATTTCAGCCACTTTCCTGTAACAGAGCTGGCCTGTTTTCTTTGAGCTATTTTTGGCTGTTCTTTAGAGATATATGTGGTAGAGGAAGGTAATGAGAACAATTAAAGAGGAATTTCAAGGTGCTGTGCTGGAGGCAATGGAAAGAAGGCATCATGATATGATTGTGCAATAGCCTCACGTTTTAGGTATTGCTCATGGTGGAATGTACTGTGAGTAAAAGGGTCATTGTGGCATGTTACAGCATCCATGATATATGTGGCAAAGACTGCATCATAAGAAGGCTGAGCATTAGCATCAAAGAGCATCTGAAGAGCCTTTAAGTGGGAGAAATCCATGTGGGAAGGCCAGCTGGTTTTCACATGTAGCTTTTCCCAGAAGATATCAGATCAAAATAGTTACAAGCTGAATCCCACAGTTTTTCTGTGTGTTTGTTGGGAACATAGTGCACTAGATTTGAAAACAATTGATTTCATGCTTTGTGACCAAGCTAGTCACAAAACAGCTACAAATGGGAAACTGAGAAACAAAGGCAGGGCAGGAAACAGAGCTGAGCTCTCAATATGACCCTTTAAATTGAAAAAGCTATAAAAGGCTGGCATAGATTTCATAAACAAGGGAGTTGGGGAACAACACAATTTGAAAGCATCATTGTCTTTTGTCAGATTTTTAGTACAAATCTTTTTCCTGGTATGTTGCCTCTGTATGAGAAATTAAAGCAACCGCTTAGATACTGTTATTTAACAAATATTGTACCAATGCATCTTCTTAAGAAAACTGAGCGGACAAATTCCTCTTCTCATGCAGGTTTTTTTTCCTCTGGTGATCTCTCATTCTCCTAATTTCCAAGGCCTTAAGCAGGGCCACTCAGAATCACAGAATATTCTGGTTTGGAAGGAACCCACAGGATCATCCAAGTTGAACTCCAGGTCCTGCACAGGACAGCCTCAAGAATCACATCACGTGCCTCTTAGCAAGCTCTAATCTGCATAGGGAGAGGTGGTGTGAAAGAAAGATGCTGATGACCATGGCATCTGAAATTAGTTTATGGCTTTAGTAGACCACAAGTATCATCAGAGTTTGTGTTGACCTTGCCCTATTCAGTGCTCTAGCCTGAGCATACCTCTTGCCTGAGCAGGCTCAGATGTTACATCAGTGTCCTCTAGTAATGAGCAGAACTCTTTTTACACCAGTTAATTGAGCCTAACTATCCCTCTTGGTAGATGAGTGAGTATCAGCCCCACCTTACACCTAGGAAGAGTGGGAGGGGAAAGTGGCTCGACCCAAGTTCAGTTGGCAGTGTGAGCAATGTCAAATACCCTGTTTGCCACCCGAGCCCCGTGCATGCAGAAATGGTGAAGTTCCTTGCAGAACATGGGAGAGGAGTTAAGTGTTGGGCTAACATTCTGTGTTAGATATTATATTGCATGTTGGGAAATGTGTTGAGAAATGCACTAGGGGAGTGGGCTCAGGGGCACAAGCTGCATTGCCAAGGAGAATAACAGTGCCAGTGACATGGTAGTCAGGCAACAGGCTTGCACTGGCCTGCTGAGCACTGGCAGCAGGACAGCCTGGGTAGTCTGATGGCAAAAGGGATGCTGGCCTCATTTCAACTGCTCAGTCTGGCTGCATCAGTGCCCTGGTTGGTATTTCCTTCCTTCCTTCTCCTCTAAAGAAAAGACAAGATAATTTGAAGCAAAAAGCCAAGCCTTTGCCCTCTGGAGGGATTCCAGGGCTGCAGATGGACCGGGCTGTTCGCAGGGCTGCTGGAAAGCAATTACATTTGCAGTTCAAGGGAAGGGAAG